CCAAGATGGCGAACTGTGGCCTGTTGGAAAGGCCTGTGAGGAACAGCGCCATGGCAGCCTAGCCAAGATGGCAAACTATGGCCTATTGGAAAGGCCTGAAGCAAAGAAACAAGAAAAAAAGCCCAAATCCAGCACCTCGGACTGTCCTCCATTGACCTGCTGCGCTGGGTCCAGTGGAGAGGCCGGAACCCTGGACGGGCAGTTTGACCTTTTGCCCTGAATGACCACTACCAAGATGGAGGCCGAGTAGCCGCAGCCAACCAGGGCCAAAGGGGGAGCCTGGGTGGGTGGGTGGCCTGCCTCCGGGGGGAGGTCTCAAGGGCGCAGCCCCTAAACCAGCCCCTTGGATGGGGCCCAGGCCTGGCATGCCTGGGGCTGGAAGAAGCAGCAGTTGCTTGCCATGGCTAGGCCGCACGTCCCTGCCAATTTGTGCCTGGGGGAGCCATCTCCCCATTGGCCCCATGGCGCCCCTGCCCATCCGTGGGCGATGGGGCGCTTGGGATCCGGATCCAATGGGGCACCCCAATGGCTCTCGATGGCCTGGGGCAAAGCCCAAAATGGAGTCACTTCGGTTTTGGCTGGGACTCCATCCTCTGGGGTTGAGCTGAGCTAACTGCGGTCTGGTCCCTAAACGACGGCTAAACAAACCATGGTTTAGTGCCTCAGTAGCTTCATGGTTATTTTAATTTGCTCTTTGGATGATCGTCCTGTTGTAACGGCTGCCTGGCTTGGATTGATGCCTTTATTTTGGGTTTTATCGTGGGCTGCAGGGGACCGTGTTTTGGTTGCGAATAGAGCACTTTGCCTCTTGTGGTTTAAATCTTGGTTTAAATAGGATTTAAAAATGCAGGCCAGGCTTGTAATGTGCTTTTGAGCCTGGAAGCATTAAAAACCAAGACATGAGGGCCCAGAAGAGCCAAAATGGACGCAAAGGGGAAAAGGTATTAGGAAACAAACGAGGAAGAGTGGCTATACCTCTCTATTCTTGTGAATGTTTTCAACCCTTGGATGTGTTGTCTTCCCAAGCAGAATTCTTATACTTGGTATCATTTCAGGCAGGAAGAGGAGTTGATGAGAGAGAAATGGAGATTTGGCTGCAATCCGGTGCGGGTGGGGGAAACGGTATCTTTGGGCTTGTTTGGAAGTTTATGCACAGAGCATCATGCTTTTCTTGGCTGGTTTATGGCAGGGATATACAGCCTGAGTGGCATGCAACCCCTCTAGAACTACGGCATCGGCCCTCCAAATTGTCACACCGTATGCTTAGTGCAAAAGAACTAAATTAATAACGGCACGGGAATTAATCCCATTCAAGTAATTTAAATGAAACCCGTTGCTCTGATGAAGCTGGGGTTTTTTTGGTATCTTCCGTTGGTTTCCCGCCATTTTTCTACAATTCAAGGCGACACGTATAAAAGTTGCGTCCTAATTTTGCCTCTTAACAGCGGCCCTGCAATGTAGGCAGGGCTTAAGACAAGTGGATGCATGCCTTGGCCGCTTCCTGCCCCATTGCAAAGTGTTCCGCACAAGATTGCTCCTTGAAAACCACACAGATGCTTCAACTGCCCCAGTTAGGCAGCGCTGCAGGTAATTAAAAGAATGCACCTTATGCGCGAATAATATTGCATTGGCTCCTGGTAGTTTTCCAGCTGCAATTCAGGGTGTTAATGGTTACCTTTAAAGCCCTACACCTCCCCATGAAAACATCAAGTGACTCTGAGCCAAGATGGGCAGCCTAGGAAGTGTGCCCTTTTTATAGTTGCCTGTTTTCGCTCTCTGGAATGACCACCCCCACCCCAATATACAATAGCACCCCCCATTTCTCCTTTTCTTTAGGAAAGCCCTCAAGACCTGGTGCTTCCTCCAGGCCTCGGGGATTGGTTGACTGTGAGTCCCCAGAGGTGGTTGTGTTGCGTGCTTGATCGCCATTTAACATTTCAGCTCTTGTTTTCAACAATCTGTTGTTCGTTTTAGCTCATTTTATTATTGTGTTTATGTTGCACATCTCCCAGAGTCACAAATAAGTTGAGAAAAGGAATAAAAAAAAAAAAGATGGGTGCAAGTGATAGCTGAACATTCGTTGCAAAGTTCAGTTTAATTCCTCATTCACCACGGAGGAATTGACAACTGAAATGCAAAACCAACAACCCTACAATGGCTGCGAACTGAGCAAGCGTTGCTGGCTAGAAGTCACCCTACCATTGAGGTACAGCTAAACTATCTCAATCCCAGATTTTATTTACACGCATAGCAAGATTACCTTGAACGGCTCTTAAAACAATGGGTCAGGCAAGAAATTCAAAAACGTTTATCCTGTGCCAAAACTAATGGGGGGAAAGAGAAAAATAACCCTCTGCTCAGAAAACAGACCTCAGCAAATTGATTTTTTCTGATTCCAGATAGGAACCTTGTTCACGTGCTCGCTCTTTTACGCATCCTTGGCAAAGGAGGATTATTTCCTCTCCTCAAAAATAACATTTCTCCATCCAAGGCTGAAGATCTGCCTCACCGGGTTTGATAAAAGAGAAAAACGGAACGGAAACAAGAATTTACACGCCTTTTCAATAGTGTCCCCAAAGGAATCAGGGTACTATAGACCCAATTCCTGATTAGTTCTGATTTCAAGAAGGGGGGTGCAGGCAAAACCCCGGAAGAATCAGCAATGCCAGTGTTGTCCATCTCCACATGAAAGATCTGGCTTTAGGTCGCAGGTCCACTTTCTGGGGCTGCATTATGAAATGTTAGCCCCAAACGAGACGGGCTCTTCTATTCCCGTCGTGCTTTCTTGCTTCTCTTCTTTTCTGATTTTACTGCCGCATCGTGAGTTTTTCGTTTCTCTGCCAGTTTGTTTGCCTGAGAAAGAAGAAGAAGGAGAAGGAGGAGGAGGAGGAGGAGGAGGAGGAGGAGGAGAAGGAGGAGGAGGAGGAGGAGGAGGAGGAGAAGGAGAAGGAGAAGGAGAAGGAGAAGGAGAAGAAGAAGAAGAAGAAGAAGAAGAAGAAGAAGAAGAAGAAGAAGAAGAAGAAGAAGAAAAGCTAAGTTTAATTCTCACTGATAAGATGGGCTCCAGCACGTGTCCGAAAAGCTCGGGAGATTAAACCTCAATCCAGATTGGATTCTGCAACATTATCCCAAATACTACTATGTATATTCGCCTTCATTTCTAATTCTCACCGTTCCCAAGAAACCGAGCAGAGCAAAAAAAAAAAAAGATAAAATAAAATAAAAATAAAGGATACCTCTCTAATTTTGCGCTTCTTCCCAAACATTATTTTTTGGTAGAGGTATTTCTCTCGCTTCTTCATCATCATGATGGCCAAACGCTTTTCCTCGCTCTGCTGCTCCTGCATCAGCCGTTCCTTATCCTCCTTCACCACCTGGCCAGGTGTCACCTTCACGGGGAGACTCTGAGACAAGAGGAAACGGTGCACTCAAAAGGTAAGTTTCTGTTAAACCGAAGAACAAAAACCTTCAGGAAAACTTCCCTAAGCCAATGCTAGAAAGGCTTGCCTGCTTGCTTTCAACATTAAATCATCATCTCCTTTTAATGACCTCATCATCCCTTGCTGGGTGGAGTCTGGGCATCAGAGTGGAGCTAGCAGAGTGTTTACTGGCCGGATGCCCTTCCTGTCACCAATGCAGAGTTTTGTCCAGCAGATATAGTCCTCGAATGACAGTTCATTCAAAGTTACAACGGCGCCGAAAACCTGTAACCTTTTTTTTTTTTTTACTATGACTGGATTCAATCAACGCCCTACAATATTCTGACTTCATAATAAGCATCTTTTAGGATACCTTGTTCTGAGATCGCTGTGCTTCCATCTTGCGTAGTTTCCCTTCATCTTCCTTGTCAGAATCCTCTTCCTCCTCCTCCTCCTCCTCCGAGCCTTCAGTTGCACCTTCAACCTCTCCGCCGCTCTCCTCTTCCTCGTCCTCTTCACTATCTTTTACTACTGAAAAGACCCAAACCGTGTTGAGGTTGCCGAGAACCCCAAAAAGGCATTCTCAGCCCTCCCACCGACTGCGCCAGGCTCGCCAGAAACCCGGGACCCGCTGGATACCTGGTTCTTCACCCCTTTGCAAGGCCAACAATTTCAGCTTCTCTGGGGGCATGTAGTCGCCTTCCTTCTCAGAGACAAATGGGGAGAGATGAGGAGGCAGCATTACGCCAGGGAAGTAGTCAGCCACTGGGAGGCACATCTTGGCGTTGACCGAGTCGAAGACCCACTGAGGCTGCAGGTAATATCTGGGGAGAAAGGAAAGCCAATGAGAAGTAGGAACATTAGAATGTCAGTTGTACAGCTGTACAGGGTGGTGGCGCAGTGGTGAGAGTGCGGTACTGCAGGCTATTTCTGCTGACTGCCGGCTGCCTGAAATCTGGCAGTTTGAATCTCACCGGGCTCAAGGTTGACTCAGCCTTCCGTCCTTCTGTAAAATGAGGAGCCAGATTGTTGGGGGCAAGAGGCTGACTCTGTAAACCGCTTAGAGAGGGCTGTAAAAGCACTATAAAGCGGTTTGTAAGTCTAAGTGCTATTGCTCATGAGCACAACTGAACCCAACATTTCTGCAGTCGAGACCGTTGTGAAGTGAGGTTTGCCCCCATTTTAGGACCTTTCTGGCCACAGTTGCTAAGTGAAACCCTGCAGTTGTTAAGTGGATCTGGTTCCCCCCGCCGAAGGTTAGCAGAGGGGATCCCATGACCCCCAGGCCACTGCAATCGTCATAAATACAAATCAGTTGCCAAGTGCCTGAATTTTGATCGGGGGTGTGTCTGTGTTGCAATGATCATAATGTAAGAAAAACAGCCATAAGTCACTTTTTTCGGTGCCACTCTCACTTTAAATAGTCACTAAACGAACTGTTGTAAGGTGAGGATGATTTTACAAGCTCCATTCATGAGCCTCCAGGTCCTCCTATTAGCCAAGATCTGACGAAGAGGAACAAGATGGGAGTGAACTCACTTGGGACTTTTGTGGCATTCACAGCACGGCCCCTTAAAATTCTATGTCTGTTTTCTGACTATCAAAGAGCAGCTCTCACCTTCCAACCACTTGCATCTCTACATTTGGACGGTCAACTATCTGGTGGGTGATGCGTGGATCCGTAACATCGTAGGTGGCGCCAATGCAGAGAGACGTGTCCCAGGACACTTTGCCCCCAAAGCACCTGGTGAAGGAGAGGTGGGGGTTCAGCCAGTTCTCATGACAGGTTCTACATTCAAGTTGTCAACTCATAAAATACTTCTGCGGTCTTTTTAGAGTGGCCAACAGAAAGGGAGGGAGGGGAGCAGGGCGGCAGCTTGGAAATCGAAAGTGCATTCCATAAATAGTTTTTCAAAGATAGTAACTAGGTGACTGAAGTTTCTGCCGGACACAATTCTAACTGGAGAAGAAGATTGATGACTCTGGGCTATGGATGTGTCCCATTGGAGAATATGAATTACGATATACCCAAGAGGTGGGGGGAAAACCAGGGTCAAAGGTGACAATGAATGATGTCTCAGAGTCGGCTACACCCAGGTAGTGCCGGACATGTTAACTCCCAATAAATACCTTTGAAGTTCCGGAAGTTTGGCTCAAGACTCATGATTTAATTGGGGTGATTTAATTTAATTTAATTATGATTTAATTTAATTTAATGATTTAATTTAATTAAGTGCCAGAATCCTGACACAAATGCACATTAGGTTACAATTTAAAAGAGAGTGTTTGTATTGTTGGAAAAAGCACCTTGGGGACACTCATAACCTGGATGGTTGAGCGTCTCCACGGACATCCCGAGATGCCTCTTTCCAAGCCGTATGGTTAAGCGAAAAAATTTCGAGGAACATTTTACCTTTTGATAGCCAGAGGGGGGGAAAGTCTACGGAGATTCTCAGTCCTCCAACTCATGGTTATCCCAAAGGTGCTTTTTTTGTTTTCAACAGGCAACTGGACTCCCTGGTTGGTTGGTTTGTTTTTTTCCTTGAAGGCATTTCGCTTCTCATCCAAGAAGCTTCTTCAGCTCAATACCAACCGAAGCATTGGAACAGGTCACAGAATTTATTTATAAAAAAAGGCACACAACTAACTCAAGAGCTGAGTTTACAAAGAAGGCACAAATTTACACAGAATTTACAAAGAAGGCACAACGAATGCCTTCAAAGATCAAGAAAGTCCAGTGGCCTCTTGGTGGAGAAGGCTCATTCAACGAAGACCTAAACATGGACCACCACTCAAAAGGGCTGCAGAGCAACCCAGCACTGGTCCAACCCTTGCCCAAATTCTAGAACAGAGCTGATGAAACGAAGGCAAAGGCTTAACATACCTGATGACAAAAGCTAAGGGTTCGCGAGGCACCTCCCTGTTGAGAAAGAACTGCAGCCCTTCAAAGAGCTTCTTCTGTTTCTCCAAGTCCTCTTCCTCCTTCCTCCTGGACTCCTCTTGTTCTGCAGTCTCCTAGCAGAGAGAGAGAGAAAAAAAAGCTCCATCAACACCCTTCTCCATGTTGGAAAGGTTAAAAAAAAGAAAGAAAGAAAGGCAACAAAATCTCAGGCCTTTGTGAATTTAATTTGATGCGATGGAATGTAGTCTGGATTCCCAGAAGGGAAGGAAGGGGGTGCATTCCGGAGGAGTCGGAGGCAAAGAAGTTCAGAGAGTTTGTGTGAGAGAAAGAAGGTGAAGACAGCCTCTTCCTAACAGTTCCCAGAGCAGGCTTCGTGCGCGTAACAATCTATTTCGGTTTGGCAAGATTCTGTCTAGAGGTTTGGAACGGTAAAGTAATCTTCTTGGAAGAATCACCATCTTTCTTTCTTGAGCTTGGGAGACATTTTCTTAGCCATAACTATCTCAAAGTAAGGATAAGAGGTTCTCCAGCCTTATCCATTCCACCTGGACCGGCCCAGTCTCCCCAACATTCTGTCTCTTGGAAGGCATTTTCCTCTGACTCCAATAAAAGGGGGTGTCACTCACTCCTTCCACGGGAAACTCATCCACTTCAGCTTCGTCTTCTATGTTGGGGGCAGCGACTCGAGCCAGGCTGGTGCTGAGAGCTGACAGTTTCTAATTGGGAGGCGGGGGGAAGAGAAGAAAAGAGAATTAATGGGAGACTTGATCCAAGTAACTTTAAGTGAAGCACACACTTAATGCAGATTCCCAGAGTTGAAACACGCTGGCTGGGGAATTCTGGGAGTTGAAGCCCACACATCTCCAAGCTCCCAAGGTCGAGAAATACTGAATATAGAGACTGCAGTTGTTTTTTAAGGAAGGACGTGGAGGAAAATTTGGAAGGACAGGATTGGGCACCCACGTTCTCACCTCCAAGGTGCTCTCGGAGTCCAAGGCGTAAGGTTCTCCCTCCTCTGGCTTGCTCTCTGCTGAGGAATGGCCTTCGATCTAAAAGAACAGACTGTCAGGGTTCCGGTGACTGCCCGAATTAAATCATGAGCCTCGAGCCAAGCTTCAAAAGAATCCAAAAGGTTTATGAGGAGCAACTTGTTGGCACTGAACCCGTAGGAAGCCAACTCTGACAAACACGTGATTTACGGTCACCTGTGACCCTGTTTCCCCCGACAGACACGGGGAGGTCAACCCATTGAGGCAGTCCAGACAGGCCACCCAAACTGAACCCTGAGGAATAAACCTTACCGTTATTTTAAGGTTACAGTCCCAGAACCTTGCAAATTTTGCGGGGAATATTTTCAGGGTTTTTTTTTAAAAAATGAAGCGTTGGTTATGGCTTAATATTTAAAAAAGGAAGTTGGAATCAGTTACAAGGAGACCCTGACTGTATGAAGTAATAACGGCCCTGGAAGTGACAAACAGAACGAAACAAAATAGAACTAACTTGGTGGCTAACTTAGCATCTGCACTGAAGTACTAGGTCACGAAAGTGGCAAAACGCACATAATAAACATCTTACTTAGCAACAGAAATGTGGGGCTCACTTTGGGCCATAAGTTGAGGACTACCTGTACAGAAGGACCACTGTACCAAAGAGCTGGGTCACTTTGAGTTTCCAATTCCTTCTCCCTTCCTCGGGCATCAATAGTGTTTTGTCAATGGCTCTGCCTATTATTATATTTTCCAAAGGCCATCTCTGTTTCTCTCTCTCTCTCTCTAACTGGGGAAGTTGCCTGTTATGAAGATAAAAGCTGGGTTTTCTCAATGCCTTGTCTGTTTCACTCACCTTTGGGGGATAGTGTAAGTTGAGTGTCTGGTAGAGGCGAACATTGACAAAGCCAAGGAGGGTGGTGTAGAATTCGGTGAAAGTAGCCATGACTCTATAATCCACATCGGTCGGGTGCTGGAAGAAAGTGAGCCAGTCAATCAATCAATCAATCTGCAGAAAGTTTAAAAAAAAATTTTTTAACTCCCTGTTCTATTTTTCTGTAAACAGGACGTGCTAAAAGGAAGTGTTGGGAATGGCTTAATATTAAAAAGGGATCTATATATATAAAAGCGAAATGCCACTCACGCATCATCACAAAATCTACAGAACCGTAAAGCCTACAAACTTGAAATTTGGCACCTATGTTCCTCTTGGCTTCTAGGGGCTCACCAAGAAAGGATTTTTTGAAATGACCACCAGAGCATTAGCATTTTGTATATTATTATTATTAACGCGCTCTGATACTAAGGAGTTCTACTCCCCCCTCACCACCTGAACAGAAATCTGCTCCAAATGCAAAACACAAGCGGAGGAGTTAGTTTCACAGCACCAAGCAGCTTTAGTACAGAACAGTTGAGCTAAGCCATGTTCAGGCTCCTTGCTGTCTCCTCCTTGCTCACACAGCAAATACTGTATCTGTTTCCAAACAGCTCTCAACTCTGACATACGGACACAGGATGCTAGCCAGATGAATACCGATGGATGCTGGTAGGCAGAGGCAGAATTTTCCCCCCTTATTTTCCTCCCAAAAAACTAAGCCCGACCACATAGTTTCGTAGCGAAGCACGGGGATCGAGCTATTTTGAAATAAGTACAGGGAGACCACGCGCAGAGGGGCCACGATTTCCCATGCTGCCTGCATTCCCGTGGAAGGGACTTGGTTCGTTTGCGAACCTGAGCTGATGCAATAAAATAAATCAAGATTTATCACATTACAATCAATGGAAAAAGAGACCTTGAAGGTACAAGAAGGGATACCTGCGTTGGTAATTATTAAGAAGCAAAATATAACTTTAAAAAAAAAATGAGAGGAATGCTTGTGAAGACAATGCTCTGTGTCCAACCAACTGGACACAAACAGCTTCTAACAATGAGGCTCCATGCTTGGAGTTAATTGTTAATTGCCATTTTCACCTTGGTTTTTTATTTCAAAAAGTTAATGATTTCCTTCTCCCAAGAACACAACATTGCAAGCAAGAGAGTTCGGCACGCCAACTACAGAAAGGGAACCTGCTGTCTGGTCAAGAAAGCCTGAGGTTGTTCAGGTACACAACAGAGTTGGAAGAGACTTTAAAGGTCCTCTAGTCCAACCCCCAGCCCAAGCAGGAGACGCTATACCATTTCTGACAAAATATTTGTACAATCTCTTCTTGAAGACCTTAAGTGATGGGAGCACCCACAACTTCTGGAGGAAACTCGTTCCACGGATTAATTGTTTAACTATCAGGAAATTTCTCCTGAGTTCTAGGTTGCTTCTCTCCTTGATTAGTTTCCACCCATTGCTTCTTGTCCTGCCTTCAGGTGCTTTGGAGAATAGCTTGACTCCCTCTTCTTTGGGTCAGCCCCTGAAATCTTGGAAGACTGCTATCATGTCACCCCTAGTCCTTCTTTTCATTAAACTAGACATACCCACTTCCTGCAACTGTTCATCGTATGTTTTAGCCTCCAGGCCTCTAATCATCCTGGTTGCTCTTCCCTGCACTCTTTCTAGAGTCTCAACATCTTATTTCTAATGTGATGATCAGAACCGGATGCAGGATTCCAAGAGTGGCCTTATTACTAAAGCATTATAAAGTGGTAGTATCGCTTCTCGGGATCCTGGTTCTGTCCCTCTGTTAATGCCACCTAACGGCTGCGTTGGCTTTTGCTGTAAGCTTCCTCCGCTAGCCCTTGTCCAAAGTATCTCATTTCTTGCAACTCGGTTGGCCAACTGACGCAGGAAATATCAGCGAAGGCCGAAGCAAAGGATGGGAAAAAAACGAGTGACTTCTTCATCTTAAAAGTCAGGTGTGATGGAAGGAAGCCAAAGCTATTTCTGGAATCAAACCGCGCATTTCACGCAGGCTACATTAAGGCTGTCCTGAGCACGCACGATCAGCACTGGATTCATTCAGCAATGCTTGTCTGCACTCAGCCCTCCATCTTGAATGACCAGGGCTGCATTTATTTCCGTTCAGGACAGGGTCCTGACAGGGGAGCAGGAGCGGAGAGAAGCGTGTCCTTGTCCAACGATGTTAACACAACCCTCTTACTCACGTTGTGGGAAAAGGCGTAGGGTGTTATCCAGGTGATAAGCTGGCCCAGCACCTCAGCCTGGTAATAGATGCCCTTAATGGAGAGAAAGACCTGTGGAAAAGCAGGGAAAAACAAACTCAGCCAGGAAAACAAAACTGTAGACAGGAAAGAAAGAACTACTATAAGGGTTGGTTGAATCTTTTGGCCTCAGCGTATCAACAATTCAGAAAATGCTTAACTCTGCTGGCATGTCACCCTTTCCCCCTGAACAAAACAGGAACAATTCTTTACATAGTCACTTATTATTAATTTTTTTTTAAAAAAGCAATCCGATCATGCATTGGCCACACGCCACTTTCTTCCAGGCAGTGTTCTTTTTCGGTTGCCAGGCTCTGCAGCCTGCCCGTGCCTTCTCCGACGACTTGGTTCTTGGAAGTGGCTTCAGGGAATCGGTGACCTCCGAAAACCTCAGAGATATGCGGCTTTTGGAGCACTCAAAGGAGCCTGGCCCACAGGAGCCTGGCCCTCTAGTGTTGACTTTGGGAAGCTGCACAAGAGC